CAATCTTCCCAAGATGTTTAGGCCAGCATCAGGTACTTGTAATGCAGAGCCGCTGGAGAACTTTAACAATTCTATGCTGGAGAAAGACAACTAACTACAAGAAGAAGTATCTTAGAACTGCTGCACCCAGACCTGTTTGTGGTGCCAAGTCTGGCTTTTATGCCCTACACAATAGCTTGAGTGGTTAACATCCACCGTATTTTGAAATCATTGTCCCTCAGGAGTAAACGCCATGCAAGCCATTAAAATGAACATGGGTCTGTAGGTTTCTTTAAACACCATGTACAACTTTCCCTCACAAGCTTTAATATATTCCTTCCAGCCACTGCTACCTCCGTCTCTGCCCTGCCAGACTTAAGCTGTTCTCCATGTAGAATCATATCATAGAATGGTTTGGGTTGGAAGGGACCTTAAAGATTATATGCATATTAAAAACCACTACCCAAGCTCTCCCTTACCTGGTCAGAAACTTCACAGGTCTGTTGTGTCCCAACATGCGGGCTGATCACTGGGCACATTCCCATTTCCCCTTCTGTTCTGATCTATTCCCTTTTTCGAGGAGTGTCATCTGAATGATACATGACACTTGTAAATGACATAGGTGTATGCACTAATTACAAAGTCTGGTTCCCAGTGCACATGGCTGACTATTTAAATAAATTATCTTAAATCTGCCAGTGGTTGGAAGATGGCTGGAGCCAGTCAAACCTGAGGAGTGGATTGTTGGGTGTCGTAAGGTTCAGATGCTGATGGAAGCTTTTTCTGCAACAGGGGTGTTCTTCATGTGTCTCAGACCGATGACCAAAAAAGTTATTCCTCTCCCTTACACACAGACATGCTTCTCTCTTCAGCAGTTATCTAGCTGTAAAGAATCTGTATCTATGTAACTATGACTTTTTGAAAACTTATTTAACTAAGAGGTCCCAAATAGACAGTTAATTAGCTATAAGGAAAGGGGGGGGGGGGGATGGACGGACATGGGATGGATGGGACAGGGGCTGGGTGGACAGAAAAGAAAAAAAGAAAAGAAAACAAAACAAAAACAGAGACAGGAGTTCTGTTTTAATGTCCTTAGTAACCCTGGGTGTTCTTGGATATAATTGAACAGATTTTGTCTATTCGAAGTCCAAATATCCACACAGCTGGAACATCAAGACCTGGCAGCTTTACACAGGTGCTGTGCAACAATCATATACCAAACACAACATGGTAACTATAAACATCGCAGCAATATTTTCGGAGGGATTCCCCAAAAGACAAGATCAGTTTCTATCAACAACAAAGACAATGTTTTATTGAACAAATCTATGTACAGTACAAAAAAGTTTTTAAAATGAAACACTACTGTTGATTTATTGCAGTTTGATGGCTCAGTTTTAATTTGTACTCTTATATAAAATGCAAAGTAAAATAATTTAACATTCAACAAGGAAGCACAAATTTCCTTTCTTGCTGAACCTGTAACAGCTTTTACAAATTAACAAGAGTCCCAAAATGCATACACTGCATTTAATCAGAAAGGTGTTATACAGTACCAAATAAATTAAGAAAATAGTAACACTACCACCCCCCTTTTGAGTCTTTCGTCCATACCACTGGTGTTAAACAATAAAATAAATGAGTACAGCTGAACCTTCAATGTGATATTAAAATCACAAAGTTTAATGTTATAAATTATCCAAACTATACAAATTTATATAGTTTTAATGAATATGGCTAAATAACCAAAGTACCAGTGACCTTTCCCCACAGATATGACCACTTTAAACCTACTTTCAGTATTTCTTTTATTTTTTTGTGAAAGGTGCCTACCAAGCGGCAACCCTTTGAAAATCAGAACTTACATGACCTTTACAGTGAACTGTGATCGGGTTAGAGTAGACAGTCTTAAAAGGAAAGTCTAGATCGAAGTTATAGCTACCTGGAGGAACGTTATTAGAATATGATCATCAGCAATGAAATGCAAAAACTTTGTTCCAATAAAGCTCCTAAGCTCATGTATAACTTCAGGCAGCTTTAAGATATTTGCATGCTTACATTACACATGTACTTCGGTATTTATTGAACCAAAGTAATACATCCTGAAGAATTATTTATCACAATGCTTGATGCCTGGGAAAAAAACCCATCCAATTCTAGATTTAGAAGCTTTTTCAGCCTTAGAAGTTGCAGGCTTAGTATAGGATAATAGCTCGACAAACTAAAGAATCTGTAAAAAGCATGTAGAATTATTCCCCACACATTACAAGTATCTTTTTGCTAGTAATTAAAGTTGCTGAATGTGCAACTGTCTGAGAATACCAACAGGTATCAGAGAGTAGTTTAAAGAAAATGCACTGTCTTTTGAAGTAAAAATCATTACTTAAAACAGAACTGTTATCACCCATTTGTTACTTTAAGTCAATTTAGCATATTTCTGATAGAAGTTAGGTGATACTAATGCTCACCTATGTAAGAACACAGTTTTCCAGTTCTCCAAAGTGTATTTACTGAACAAATGGCATAAACAAATGGTGGTGTTCCAAGAAAAACATATTTGAACAAAAATGAGTTTAATGCAGGTACAAAAAATTATGGTCACAGTTTATGCATGTACATAGATGCATTTACCTACACACTTAAGCCAAAGAAAACACAAGTCTCAATCATGTTTTTAAAGCATCTTCAAATACATGGAGCTCCAGGAAAAGGCAGAAAGCCCCAAAGATTAAAGGTACATTTAAAAGACTTTACAGAATCATTTTTGTTGTATCTAGTGACTGAGTTTTCAGATTTTTAAAACGGTAATACTCTAAAATTAACCTTTTTTCCAAGTATATTTAAGCAAATTTAACTAGATTAACAATGTTAAGCAAAGAAAGGGGAGCCTGGGAATATCCCAGATGACAACTGGGTCCTTAAAAATTAGTTGGTAACTTGAAAGCAAAAAAATGTGAAAGTGCATTTGGCTGATAAGGTCCCCATTGATGTTATGCTTAAAAACTTTTAATGTATTTAAATATGTAAATAGATATATATATATAGTGTACATATATATGTATATATAATGAATGATGGATTTAAATTAGGTTTTTTGCAACTGCAAAAAAAATTCTTTGGTGCCTCAAATGTCATACAAATCTCTGAAAGTGAGCCAGTCATCGGTATTCATGTAATGCACACATACCTGTGATCATAATTTTGTAACCTTTTCATTAATCCAACTCAAGGCAAAATTTTTCTAGAATTCAAGAAAGTATGATTTTCAATTTCCATTTCTTTTACCTCCCAGGAGGGGAAAAGGAAGCAGAGTTAATGCAAATGTCTGTTTAATTTCACGGTGGATTATTAGCAGAGGCATTACTGAACTATCAGTTTAAGTTCCAGAACTACTTCACAGCCTATTTTACAATGAAACCTGTAAAGTTTGCAAATGTGAGCCATTGTTAGAATGAACAGATCTTTTATGTTGATCATCTTATTATGCCATACACGCACTGTGATGAACTAGTCAGTAAGCAAACTAGGTGAGCAGAAACAGTTGGGTCTTTACTGTCCTACATTTTTGTGACGACTCCATCTGTACATACCAGTTTTCACCACTATACCTTCCATGCCTACAATCACATTAAAATTCTCAGCTACCTGCATAGAATAGGATCTCAAATAAAACATTTTTAGGCAGCAAGACAGTGCAAGATAAATTAGACGATAAATTAGCATGGTAATTAGACAGTGTGCATGTTTGCCACACCTCTGTTTGGGGTGGGAAGACCAAAAACTACCATGGCTTCTTTTTGGTTTCCAAATGTACTGTATTTCAATGTTACATATAGAGCTGAATGACTCAAATTTCACATTCTGATTGTTTTATGAACTGAATTTTGGATAAAGTGCTTAACATTTAAATCTAACTCCTTCACTAACTTCTGGGAAAGGCTATCTTTTAAAGAGATGCTACTAGATAGGGTTGTAATGTGTCTTAAGGTTGAGTCGATACATATTTTCTCCCTTCCTCTAGACAGTAAATAAACAGTTACAGTGCTGAGTTGTGACCTACCACCATTAAACAATATCACATATGTGAAACAGGCTCTTCCTGATCTTTTTTTCCCAGCTTGACATATGCTCTGCTTTTGTCTGCCATTTAACTTTTTTTTTTTTAAACAGGAAGCCATCTCAAGTTATTTTCAGTCATACCAACAGCTGAAGGACCTCTGTATTTTCATAAAATTAGTTTAACTGTGCCCTGTAATGCAAGCTTAACCCCCTTCACTTTCTGATTGTTTCAATCTGCTTCATCACATATCCACACAATACTGCTTGTATTAGTCTTCCTGGACCTACAAGAAATGTTTTACAGGACAATCTTAACATACAGGTTTACCATAGCCTTGAAAAGGGCTGCTCTTGCATGCATCCGATTTCCACTGTGCATAACTTTCATCAACTCACTTTTCCTTGCATGCTCTGTACTTCAAGGTTTTGGCTATTCGAGCATTCTACCCATCTTAGATTTCTTTCTACATTCCTCTTTTTAGATTTTGAGTATAAGTTTACTAAATGAGCTCCATGATTTTTAGCAGATAATGGAATCACATACTCAAACTTTGAAAAAAGAATGCATGGTTCCTCTATGCATTTCTTATCCATATTGTAATAATGTAACACCTTCTTGAATGACTCCTTCCCAGCTGTGTGGATGGATATCCTTTAACCGCACATTTTCCAACTAAAGCAGCTTTCAGAATTGTCTGTTTTTATTTCCATAAGGTAATTAACACCTCTGCTTTTTCTGCTTGCTCAACTGTACGCTTTATTTTCCTTAATTTCCTTATTTAACCTTCATGCTAGAAAGACTGTGCTGCTAAGCTTCAATCACACATTTGGAATGAATGTGGCTTTTCGGATAACTGGTACTTTGGGGATTTTGTAGCAACCTTTCTGGACTCGAGACCTGCAGAGTTCCTATTATTCCTCTGTGAGTTTTGTCTAGAAAATGTGCTTTGTCTTTACCAAGGTCATGTTTTTCTTTAGTAATTTGAGACTGCTTTATGATTAAGGCCAACTGGGAAATGAACTGATGCTTCTTCATGTAGTGTTTTCTTACACCACTCCTCACTTGATACATTTCCCACAACATTGAATCAGGCACCTGTAAAAGAGAATACACTGGGATCAAAATGAAGACTAACCAATGTAAATCATTCTTTAATCTAGAACACTGCTTGTGCTTTTCAACATGTTTAGTTTCGAACATGCAAGGGAAGACAGACTGAATTACCCTCTTCTGTTCTATAAGAAGTCTTTTCCATTACAGTTGCCTACCAGTTGTCACCACCTCTTTCTTATTCTGAACAGCATATCCAATTTGAACTTCCAATTTAGCACAGTATTGTGATTTAATTTTCTAAGTTTTAGCATACTACAATTGCTTAGCAGTTGCGTCTGTCTTAGCTATTCCATCAAAGACCATTTTCTGATCGAGCATTTACCTCCAAACAAACCAACCCAGAAGGACTGTAAGACTTACTTTCATCATCTGAATCGAATCCAAAGAGTGTCTGACACTTCTTTTGTGCAAGGTGAGCCTCAAGTGCTTCTGAATTACAGTAGATGGTCAAGCATTTGCCACATCTAAATCTTTCTGTTGATTTGCTACAAAATTCATCTTGTTCAGAATGAGCATCTACTTTATCAGTCAAAAATTTTCTACGTTTTGGCATGCTAATGTATCGTTCATCAAGATAACTTGGAGGCAATGGTCTAACATATGGTTTTGTTAAGATGACACCATATGAAGTATTCTCTGTTGTCGGATTTGGTTTAGAAGGTAATTGCGAGGCAGCAGCATTATTTTGTGGTGTATCATGACAATTCTGTAAAACTGGTAATGCTGACCCATTTTCTGTCCTTGTTTCATCTACCACTCTGTCCAAAGGTGTTTCTGATGACTTTGATGATGTCTGATCTAGGTCACTGTGCCCATTTACTAGTTGGTCACTAACAACATTACAGTTTTCAGAATTTGGCTGTATCACAGGTGTTTTTTGGTCTATCAAACTTAAAACTGTAGCACTACCCTCAGATGAACTTTCATTTCCATTGTGAATTACATTATTTGCTTTCTTCTCAACACTTTGTATATATGTCTTTGGTTCTGTAGAATCCTTCCTTGACTTCCAAGTTGGAATTGGTAAATCTACAGTTTCTTTTTCATTAATAGATTCATCATCATCATCTTGGTAACTACAAAGTTCTGAAGGATCATCTGAAGAATCTTTTTCACTTGCATCTTCTGAACACTCTGGTGTTTTATTTAAATAATGCTGAGCCTCATGTTCATACAGCAAAGAGAGCTCCTCAAATAGCTCACAGCACTCTGCAAAATTGCATTGAGCTTTAAAAACACTATGAGTTTTTGTATGTTCTGCAAGCTCAGTTGACAGCTTAAATCTCTGATTACAATTAAAGTGTAAACAAAAGTAAACATTTGGATACACGTGTCTCTTCAGGTGGTCTATAAAATGTTGGGAATCAGCAAATTTTCTCTGGCAGAAGCGGCATTTTCCTTTATTCCATTTCATTATATGCTGCTGCACCTTCAGATCAGTTGGATGAGCTTTTCTTGCGTGTTTATTGAGGAATCTTATCTTTTTAAACACTCTAGCACAACCATTAGCAGGGCACTTAAAGCTTCCTTCCTCATCCATAGCATCGATGTCTTTTTGAGGATAAAAAGTTCCATTCACTTTATGCAGAACAGGCGATTCTTTACTGGAGCTCTCATTATCTTCGGGCAAACTTTCTGTACTTAAAGCATCAGGAAGATTATTAAAACAGCTGTCACTACTATTTTCAGTAGCGTCATCCTGGTCACTTAGATGGCTTTCCACCACATCAAACACTTGTTCTGCATTCTCCTCCTCCACTTGGACCACTTGATCAGTACTTGGAGCTACTGCAGTGTCTGGTTCATTATCTTTGGAACCATCAGAATTCCCATTTTCAAGAGAGGGAGAAACATCAGAACATAATTCATTAAGAGCAGGAGCCTGCTGACCAGCCTCAAGAACAGCAGCAAGATGTTGTCTTTCTATCTTCCTGACATGATTCTTTAAGTGCTTCAGCATAAGTCCTCTTTGCCTGAACTTTCTGGTGCAAAGTACACAGGAAAAACTGCCCTTTTTTTGGTGAGCTTGTGCATGTTTCACAATGTGACCACCAAGAAATTCCTTGTTGCATATCACACATCGGTGCCTTGGTACAGTTTGATCTAACATTTTAGATGCCTCAAGAGCTTCATGGTTCTTTTTGGCATTTCCTTTGGACTGGGCTTCAGAGAGGTCTTCAGGGTCAAGCTCCCCATTGCTTACATCTGTTACACAGACAGGTTCCTCATTCAGAGCCCTATACTCTGTTATCTTTTCTGTATTTGCAGTACAGTTTTCCAGTGTACTTTCACCTAAGCCAACTAAAGCTTTATCCCCCAATAACGCTAAACAATTCTGCTTGATCATCAAGAAATTCCAAAACTCAGGATCAAAAAACAAACCTTTTTTCAAAATTGGAAGAAGTTCAAAACGTACACGGTTTTGAACAGAACTAGTGCATTCATTGTATTCTTCATCTGCACATTTATATAAATGTTCAACAGTGTAGTAAGATTCCAAGGTGCGCTCAAGAAAAAAGATTGAAAGAGCACAAATTCTGAGGATCTCTAAGTCATTTGGCAGAAAATGAGCAATTGCTTTATAAATAAGACTTTTCATGTTGGGATCTTCACGGAGGTCCAACTGTAGGGCACATCCGCATATCTCAACACATATCTGAAGACCATCTTCACCAACCTGTGGAAAGGAAATTACAGTGTACATAATTATAGAGTATGCATAATGATATTTTCCTTATGGGCTTACAGAAGGCTACAGCTTGAAAGTAAAATAAAAAAATCAGACACACAGAAAAAAAAGAAATAGTATAAACAACGCCCAAACACCAACATCTCATATATTTATATTCATCTACTTACAGAATAGTTAAGATTTCAGAAAGCACCCTGCTAGTAAACTTCACCTAAAGGCATGTGCATTTTAAAATAATGCTCAAACAAGACTATAAAATAAGATACAAAAGTGCTAAAAAATAACATTTGTTTTGCACTGAAAGCTATACAGCTACTGCCAACAAAGCTTCAGATACTTTTGCCACGTGCAGTTCTATAGGTACAGACAATTAATTATTTGGGAATATAAAAGAAGACCACAGCAAATCATATCTGATCCAGCAGTATCTTACATTTGCATCTTCATTACCTAGGCTGTTTCACACTATACTTGGACAGTTACTCTACATTTTGTCCCTGTTCCAACTCATATAACTTGCATTGCATAAAAATACAAGCTATAAAATATTGCTCTCAATTTTGAGCAATGACCAACAAGGAAACCATAACAATCGACGGCCAAGCATTCTAAAAGGCTTAACTTTTCAGAATTGACAAACTATCCTTCCAATGGGCAGAATTCCTATTCCACACTTTAGGCTGGAGGCCCTGCCATGAATATGTAATTCAGAGGGATGATCAGAAACACACTGCCCAACAGGTAGTAGATTAAAGTCAAAGAGTTTCAGGAAGTTTAGAGATAATTAATACCTACCTATATTTAAAGGTGTGTTCTGAAATACGTACAATGTTCCATATATAGCGGGTTATTAAAAATACAATCATTCAGATCCAAATACAGATAAAAGTTATTTACATCACCACAAGTATGTTAGAACAAATACTGAAATTAAAATATTCAACAGCATGTCATTACCTTTAGAACTGTATAGCAGCACCTGGGACAAAATAATTTATCACAGAATCACAGAATCATTAAGG